CACTTAGGTACCATTAAGGTGGCCAGGTGATGCTAGACTTAGATATTAGAGATATGTATGTAGTTACAAATGTAATTTCAAAAACTCAATAAAGTATTAGCGTGACTGCTTATAAGTTAAAAAAAATAAAAAATAAAATAAAGCACATAATATATATTATACTTCAAATGATTTTTTAGTTTAAACTATCATAATTATTATTTAGTATTGCTGAAAAATGTAGTTTATTTGATGAATACAGTACGGGACAGCTAAAGATATCCACTTTTCTAAAAATATGCCAAATTTATGCCTGGACAGTATAAAACATCCATATCTTACATAAAGGTGCCAAATTTAGATAAAGGCACTATAAGACATCCAATTACATTATAATAAGTGCCAAATTTAAAATCATAAAATCGATAATTAGAAATTTCAGTTATGATTTACAAGTCGCATTCATAATTTACAGGTCACATTTGCTAATTCAGATTTATTTATTTATAACGAAAATAAAACCTGGAGTCATAAGTGCTCATGCAATAATATTAAAAAAACTTTTTTTTTTTTATCTAGCTCAATTATATGTTGAACAATTAATTCCACTTATTAAATAAATAATTTCGATAGAATAAAATATAATCATGCAAAAAATAATTGGCCTGTGATTATTATTCTATTTAATTGTAAAACAATGTGCAATGGCATATTATAAAAAAAAAAATAAGACGAAAAAAAAAATAAAATAAAATAAAATAAAATAAAAATAAATAAATAAATTTACAATGGTTAATAGTTGCTAATATACCTTTCATCTATTTTCTCTTGCAGTTTTAAAAATTCCCATAAAATATAAATGCTTTTATGCAAATCGACTTTACTATTCCTAAGCAATAGCAATAACCAACTTGGTGCATTCCATTAGAATTATTTATGTCTACCAATTTTTAATGATGCATGAGTGCCTTGTTTTCATCTTTTTTTTTAACACCAATTCCATTAGTATTATTTTGGCTTTAAATTGGAATTTTTAATGTAATCATCTACATTTCCATTTCCACTAGTCATCCTTGTGTTGTTATCTGAGGATCACATATTTGGCACCAGGCACTAAAAGTGTTATATCAGTTACAACTCAAGCATTTTTTTACTATCTTAAAGTAAAATAAAGCAAAAAAAAAGAGCAAATATCAAGTGCCAAGAAAATTGATCCTTTGACTTTATACATTATAAAAAAATTTTATGCAAAAAAAAAATAAAAAAATAAAAGTAAAAAAAAATATTAATAATCAAAAAAAAAAAAAATCAAAAATCAAATCATATTGATTTGATTCATAATTTCCTTATTAATTGATTCACTGATTGATTGATACTTTTTATGCTGCCTGACTGCATATTCAGTGGCTTTTTTTGTTAAACTATGTTGATAAGCATCCATCCATTTAAATGACAATCTAGCAAAAGAATGAATTCTCTCTATTGAAATAGAGTCAAAGGCTTCAATTATTGTTTATCTATGCTTCAGCAAGGAATACTCACAATTATCTCTTGTAAACTTCTTGGCCCTCTCCAGTACATTTCAATATAATTAAATTCAGGGTGAAACTTAGGATAAAAAATAACCTAAATAAAAAAAATAATAAATAAAAATTAATAATAAATAGTTATTAAAAAAAAAAAGTTTTTTACTTTATGTCCACGAGATTCAATTTCTTGCTGAATTTGACTACATTGCAAAAGAAAATCTAGCTGATTAGCCATCAAATGACATGCATAACAATCAATAATATTACTATTTGTATTCTCTTTACACGAAGTACATTCTAATACCATTCCTTCTTGCCACAACCCTTTTTCAGTAAGTACCCATTTGATTCCCTTCGGTTTATCATGCAAATTAATGTAAGATTTCATTTTCTTGTCATAGACAAAATGATCTTGCTCAATAATCATCGATTGGAAGTTCCCATTCCACACAGTATCTCGCATCTTGGGAACCAAACTGCCTGAACCAAGATTCATTTGTGAGGCTACAAGCGTGTCTTCTGCGAAAGCTGTGTGAGACATAGCATTATTAAAGGTAAATATTCCTGCAGTTAAAAGCAAAATTTAAGCATTATTGATCAGAAAATTTCAAAAAAAAAAATAAAAATAAAAGGTAAAAAAAATAAAATAAAAATAAAATAAAAAATATATCGCATCATTACCTATGCACCCTGGGTACGTTTTCTCAAAGATATCTATCACACATTTTACTTGTTTGAGAAGCTTTGGGATATCCCAAAATCTATCATAATGTGAACCTAACACCATCATTTCATGTGTCTCTTTGAGATCATCTTTAAGTCATCCAATTGTTTTAGTTAAGAAATCACTAATGTGTATACCAGGACCTAATCCTTTTTTTCTTAATGGATTTTTACCTTCAGGGCCCCATACAGCATGTGGTCCATCATAAGTATGGAAGGTAGTCTCATTATGAGTTACCCAAATATGCTCCTTCTCACCATTTGCTAATTGTAGAAAAGTTCTAAACTCACAACCTTCATCATTCCTTAAAATTAAAAAGAATATAATTTCATTTATAATAAAAATAAATTAAAAATATAACACTTTAATTTTATTTTATTTATTTATTTTTTTTTTTAATTATACTTTTAATTTTAATTACATAATTTTGTGAACATGATTAAAATCACTGAACCATTCCTATTTACTGTATTTACATACCATTTTGATATAAATCACTCAAATTTTACGACTTTTTGAAGAAAAACTTAATGATAAGCTACTACATCTGGCCTTTCATGACCATCGATATAGCTGCCTTTCTGATAATGCTTATATTTAAAGCCAAGTTTATGCATCCATCGACGAGCAGTTCGAATAGAAATGGATTGTATAAATCCTATATTCAATTAGAGGAGAACCTGTTGCTTAATATAAGTTTTAACCATTGCCAGATTCACTTTAAACTTTCAGGAATGCAGGTAAGCAGCCACTTGAAGTAAGACCAACTCATCATTAAGCAGGCTTTTGGATGGGTGTTTTCCACAAGAGCTTTTGATTAATTCTTCTAAAAAAGAAAAGAATTAAATTAAAATATAAAAAAATTAAAAAATTAAAATAAAAAAATTAAATTTAAAAAAAAAAATTTAAAATAATAAAGAATATACCTTTTATACAAATGTTTGCCCACTTCCTAACACATCTTGCGAACCACAGCCCACTGCTAACAACTTCAGCAACTGTGTTAGACACTTCTATTTTTTTTTGCCATTTAATAATAACCAAAGAAAATATAAAACTGCCATGTAGCAAGCCCTCTCAGGATCTGAAAGTCACCCTTCTCGTATTACCTTATTCACAAATTCAATTGTTTCAGAAATTATTTCATCTTCAGCTGCACTCTTATTATTACTTTCATTTTCATCTCCATTTTTATTGGAAAGCTCATTATTGGCTGATAGAGGACTAGTAGAAGAAAAGAATTGTGAAATTTTTTGTAATCATGTAGCTGCATCTCTTAATTTTTTATTTTTTCTTTGCTTGGTTCGTTTAGAGTTTCCAACATAAATGACAGGTCTTTTTTTTTCCAACACTTGCTGCTGATGCAACGAAGCGACTAATTGCTAACTTTATATTATCATTATTGTTCTAAAAGTAACCATCTCCTTGGCTGTTATAGTTGACTTCAGAAATGACTGAGCTTAAGCCATCACTTTTGTATTCAACTCTTGACTCAAGGTCAATGATGTTACTGCTTGTTTCAGTGCTGGTGTTGCTTTTGCCTTTGGTGGTGGTATTGTTCCTAGCAACTCTGGTACTGGTGTTGGTGTTGATCTGCACAGAACGAGCTATGCTTACTTTTTTTTGCTTCAATTGTTTCAGTTTCAACGTTTTTGGCATTAAAATGATTAAAAGTTAAAAAAAAAAAATTGATAATACAGATCGAATTTAAAAAAAGTTTTTTTACCCCCAATTGATCTGATTGGCCAGTGGTTACATGATAGGCAAGCTCTTGATTTTAATTGGTCAGTCTTGCATGCCAAATTCATAACTAACATATAAAATATATAAAGTTTGAATGATAACTGTGCTATCAAAAGTAAAAATAAAAAAAAAATCTTTTTCAGAAATATAAGTTTATTTAAAAATTATTAATTTGAAAGAGGATTTTTTTATTTAGTAATTTTTTAGTAAGCTATAACATTTTTTTGTAAGCCAATTTTATTGGATATCTTTAGCTATCCTGTACTGTATAAGTTTCAGCTTGAGATATTAGACTTTATAATAAATAAATTTTAGAAATTTGAAAATATTTTTAATTCTCTTTTAGATTCTAGTAAAAGTTTGAATATTCTTATTTTATAACAAGAAATTAAGAAGAATACTAAAATAAGATATCAGATAGCTTTACCAAATATTATTATTTTAGAACTTGAAGAAAACTTGTATTATAATAAAAATATTTATAATAAAGCAAGAAGTGTGGTGACTTAGTGAAATAGTTAAATTGTCAACCTCCCATGTGGTAGATCAAAAGTTTAAAACCTACCGATGACAAAATTTGGAAAACCATCTATGTTATATTGATATTACAGAAGGTAGGTAATATTATAACAATGGTATTCTGCTGATCAGTTGGAATTAGTACCTGTAACACAGTAGCACCAGATAAATAGCAGGTCATAGGGCATCTGCACAATGTTGAAGTTACACAGAAGAATGCAAACTAGCATTAGGTAGTGCAAATCTAAGATAAGTTCTTGTGGTTATATAAATTCATAAACTGGAAAACCAAAGCCCACTTGAGAAGACCTAAGTAGAGAGGTAGCACAGATCTTTGACAGTACTACTGTAAAGGCTAGATCTAGGAAACAGATACCAATGTGGAAGAAATTGGATGAGCAAGAATCTTGATTAAGAAGTACTACCAACCAGACTATCAGAAGTCTCGAACTAAAAAAAAAGGACCTTAGGAGGCAGACCCTGGGGTACCAGAAACAAGTCATAGTTCTACTGGGTTATCTGGATTGAGAATTTGAGATCAGAAACAGAAGTATACTATAAGTACTAGGAATATGCTGTAAAGTTGGTACTAGGGTCTAAGTGAACTCTGCAAGGGCAAGCCCTGTTAACAAGATACTAATTGTGAGTAGTTAGTTAGCAAGAAGGCCTCCTAGAGCCCTATAGTCAGGTAATGTACTCTAAAATATGTAGTAACTTGATGAATATACAAACAGAGAGATCACAATTAGATTAGACAGCACTTAGATATACAGAAACTTGTGTGCTATTTGTTAGTATAAGTATAGGGATCAGAGTGTTTAAATAAGTAATTTTCTAGTAGATTGCAGATATGACAACTAGTATAGAACCTGCAATATGAGCAGACTACTTAAAAATAGACAACCAAAAGTTGTATGTGTGGCTAGTTGTATACTTACTTTGTACAAGTTATGTAATCATAATTAAATACAATAAAGACAATAGCTACCGATAGCTATAGCCTTAGCATAAGCAAAAAAAAAAAATTATATATATATATATTTATAATAAAGCAAAAATATATTATAATAATATTAGACTTGATAGTAATAAGAGTCTTTATTTAGCATCTGATAATGCCATCTTTTAATAATTTGCAAAATAATATATAACTCAGTTGGAAATATCTTTATTACTAAATAGATGACATATATTAAAAATAATATGTACTATATTACTTTGTATCTTTTCTGATTATAGAATTTTTAAATTAGCAGTTAATTTAAAAATAATTTATTTAGATAAACTTGAGAAAATAATTGATTACATGATTACATGCTATATTCTAAAGTTATTATGAATTGTAGTAGGTAATACTCTTTGTCAATATATAAAAAATTATTTTATGAAAATGAAAGATATTCAAAACAATAACAATAAAGTAGTTAGAATTTGATACTTATTTTTTTGCTAAGCAGGTTTATAGTTAGGTCATAGACTTGGCATTCATTATGAAAATTACAAGATGCAATTTGAAATTCTTATTCTATTTATCTTTTTTTTTCTAGTTATAAGATATAGTAATTATGCCCAGTCTGTTATATATTTTTTATTATATATTGAAAAGAATCCTATATTATAATAAATACTTAGATATATTTGTTCTATAAACTTAACATAATCAGACTATTATTACTTTGTCTTTAATGAGATTCTTAAAAGATTTGGTATTAAGTTTATAAAACAAAATATTAGATCTGTAATTAGATTATATAAAGATTTGAAATTTTGAATTATTTTATTACAATCTGATCAAGAATATTTAAATTTGCTTTTAAGTGAATATATCAATAAGAATTTATTAATTTTAACAGATAAGCCTATAAAATCTCATAAAGAAATTTTTCAAAATCTAATAAATCAATTACAGTATTAGAAACATTTAGTCTATAAAATTTTATATAACATTAACTTTTTAAAGAAACATCTCAAAATACTAATGAAAGGTCTCAATGCCTTTTTAAATGGTATAATATAAAAAAGAATTGATTAAAAATTATTTACAAACAAGACATTGAAAAATTAATATTACAAAATACATTAAGCAGGCATGCTCAAAATATTATTGTTGAGCCTTGTGCTTAAAAACAAAAACACAAAAAAGTAAAAGAAAAATAAACAAGTTATTATATAATATAATGTCAGAGTTGCTTACAATATATTTTTATTTTTTAAAAAATCATGTACCATATTGTGCAATATTATATGAGAGGACCTACAGCAAAAGGTGGCTTCGGGAAAATCATGTGATTTTGAGAAAATCATGTTCAAAATTGGTATATAACTATTATATATATAATATTATTAAAATAATTAATTCAAATTATACATTTTTTTATTAATATATTTAGCAACCAAAATTTGTTTTTATAAAGATATTTATCAGTTAATTAGATATTATATAAAATCTCAAAATCTGATTGGCTGGCCCAAAGCCACCTTTGCTGTGAGCACCCCCATATATCTTGGATTTTTTTTAAATATTTATTATTATCATTAGTTTAAATGCTTTTTGATATCCAATATTTTAGTTTGAAATTTCTTTGCATTTGCTGCAAATTAGAAATAGTTAATATAATTAGATTCTATTTAGCAATATTATAATAGTTTCGGCCCATACGTATCTTTTTACAAAAGCAAAATATATTTGGTAGCAAGTGCGTCACATGACTATCTGAACTAATCCAAAATGCATGTTAAGTCAGTCAACTAACATGTCAAATAAGAAACGTCACTAATAACGGTCCTTCTAAATTTGATTTTTAATTGCAATAAAAATTTTAGACAAAAGAAAATGTGACACTAAAGAATATATATCTAGAGTTTTAAAATAGATTATAATTTTGTATAAAGTTCATATGAATTTTTTTTATTGATTTACATATAAAAATTTGATGTGACAAGTCATTTGACTATTAATGATTAACAGTGAAATTATTTATATGTAACTTCAAGAGTAATGGATATGATCCCTCACTTGGTACAACATTAAGGGTTCCTCCTGTTCATCTAATCATGTTGTGCATCGTAAACAATGTCAATTAATGAAAAACTTTCTTTCGTAGGGGACGTTCCACCTACTGTTGCTTGCACATCCGATACATCAACACAAAGCAGAGATGTCGCAGAAATTGATGAAAATGCCCCGAGCTTTCAAAAGGAACAATCAGTATCCAATGGTAAAGTAAATTTATTACAGGTAATTTTTCGTGGATAAGTCATTAATTGCTGTCCGAAAAAAATAGGTTTCGAGAACCTTCAGTTAGATTTAAAAATCTGGGTAAAGTACGGTGACAGCCAGCCAACATTGATTCTCTTTGAGGGAGAGATTGTAGACGACTTGAAAAAAGTGGTCAAGAAGAAATTGTCACCCAAGTTAGATGACGTGACAGTTGATGATATTATTGTAAGAAGACATGATGAAGAAGATGACTTGCGTCCTGGGTTAGTGGTGGATGGAAGTTTTATAAATGATGATGAAACACCTTTACAAGTTATTGCAAGGACACCTAGTATATATTGAATAAGAGTGTTGATTAATAATTTTATGTCAACTAACTATGGCTTTTTATAAGCGACGTTAAAACGTAAACATGAAGAGCCAGGAGATTTCGAGAAGATTGTGGATATTGCAATAGAGAAAGCATTGTCTCGACAAAAGCCTGCTGAGATGATACGAGTATCAAATCTTTCGGATACAAAAGCAAGAGATATAATTGATCGTTATGAATTAAAATTTTTTCAAGTAAGTATACGCCTTATCCTGCATTATTAAACTATTTTATTATTTATCATATATCCATTATTAGATATTAGCGGAAGACTTTGACCCTATTGAACTCATTATGTGCCAGCCATTCTTATGGAGTACGGAAATTAGTGAAGATCACCAGAAGTCCGAAGTTGTGAATTGGTTTAAGAAAGCATTGGATCTACCAAGAGATTTCCACATAAAGGATATACATAAACAAAGTTATCAACGACAGTTACAAACTGCTAATGCCATTTTAACGGGTGGTGCTTGTATTTCTATTGGACCAAGTGATACCTCCTGTATCTGGATTGAAACTAAGAAAAATAAGGAAAAGTTTAAACGGGGTCAAGCTATCGGAGAATTACTAATAATGGATAATGAATATGCGCCAAGATCTTTGTCTGTCTTAACTGATTGCAATGACAATTGGATTATTTTCTTTTTTTTGGAAGTAGAAAATCAGGAACATTATTTAGCATCATCTACAATTAATGATCGCAGTATTGCTCTGGGAATAATTAAACAGTTTGTACTTGATGAAGGAAAACCTTTTCTCAGGGCTCTTGGAAAAAATATTACATATGAAGTAAACTTACCAGAACCACTTAAAAAGAGATCAAAGTTTCTTTCATCTATACCAGAAGTGGATGATGAAAGAATGGCCGATGTGATTGATGATATGACAGAAAAAGAATTATATAACATGACAATGCGCAAGAGATTAAAATTAGCGAAAAATATTGTTAGAATAGAGGAACAACCAATTATAGATCAACTTATTAGACAATTTAGTGACGATTATGAAAATCCAACATCATAAATGTATGTGTAGCATAAATATTTGCTATATATTTAAATTTTATTATTATGCGAAGTTTTTTATTCTCCAATTGTACTTTCGTTAGCATTCTAACCTTAAAAAGAAATATAAAGTTATGAGCTTTTTTTAAATATTCTGTGTAGTAACGATCTGTATTTATGAATCTCAATTTGTGTGATCTGCTCGTTAGTATTTTATTTCAAGTGGTTGTGGTGCTTACAATAATTCTTTAAATCAATCAATCAAATTTGTCAGCCAATATATTTAATTTTTTTAATAATTATGAATGATCATAAGAAACAGATCCTTTGATTTTTATTAGTCTTACAAAATTTTTGAATTTGATTCTTGGGTCATAAATTTGCCAAGAACGAACTTTACTAATTGGTTTTTTATCCGCTTCGTGAAAGTAAATAAAATTGGCGAAAAAAAAAAAATCTTTGTATCATAAACAAGATGTCTGGTGTAGATTATTCACTACTAAACAGATGAAGCTATTTTAGTGCAATTGAATTGAAGACATTCAAATATTTATTGTACAACATACTCCTAGCGATACCCTTTAGCATGAGCTTGATGTCCTCGACATACTAGCCCAATATTATTAATTCCAGTAACACGTTGCGCTTCAGCTATAGACAGAAATTCACGAAAAGATCCATTTTTAAAAATCTGCCTGACAAAACATTGGCATCGAACGGCATGTTGCATATTCTCTTTATGTGTACACCATTCGAGATTTGAAGCTCTGTTATTGGTAGGATCACCATCAATATGATTCACGTATTCTTTATCTTTTTCTTTCAGGCAAAATGCCAAAGCAACCAGGCGATGGACACGATATTTTTCTCGAGCGACCCTGCATCCAAACATCCTTTTGTGATTAAACCATTGGGTAGCCAGATCCTCCCTAAGGATGAAACTTTAAATTTCCGAGAATTAATCTCTATTTCTCTCCACTCCTCATTTGAATCTCGTTCTATATAATTCTCATAATACATCCAGCACCATCCTTTAGCAGTATTCATTCAGCCTTCTACTACAACATCGAGAAATATTACTTATTACTATACTAAGCGTATTTGATGCAAGAGTGATAGAATCCCAAATCCGAACGACATTTCCATCCAAAGACATTTGCACAACTTTTCTGGATCTGCTTTTACTATGATTCAGAAATACTGTACGTTTGGCATTTTCTTTAGAAGTTACCCATTCCGAATTAACAGCTCGATTGTCATGCTTAATACCGTTGATGTGATTAACATAGAGCTTATTTTCTGGATTAGGAATAAATGCTTGTGCGACTAAAATACACGAACCGCAATACTAGTATGAATGCTATTAACATTAAAATTTATTCGTATATAACCTTTTCTTTTGCAGGCATTTGGCTTAAAAACCTTAACCTTTTTTGTTTTTGATGCGTCCAAGATTAGACACTAGTAAATCTGAAGTGTATATTACCGGCAACCAAACTTCTATTATAAGATTGTCGTACCTATTTTTAAATTTAGATTGCAGGTAAAAGTCTTTAGCAGATAATTGGCAAATCAATTGATTTTCCGGTCACATTATCGCTCCTCATATAACAACTATATTACTAGAAATATTACTAAGTATATTTTCATAAAAAAAAACAATAGGCACTTCGTGTCTTTAATCCCCTAGCATTAAAAAAAATCAATGTGTTGTCTACTTAAGATCTCATTTTTAAAACAGTTTTATGTTATTCAAAGCGCATATATATGCACATGACATATTGTTCATATATTATAACAAGTAAGTAATTCTAAAAGAAAATTTTTTAAAAGTTAAAGTATAAGCTAGATTAATTGCATGCAAGTTGGCTAGTAAAATTATTGTGTTTGTTATCCTAATAGCATTGATTTTGTAAAAATAATATAGATATTATATAATTTAACAAAGTTTTTTTTTTTTTTTTTTAATTTCCCACTGCATGGTTGCTAGTGGGCCGCAGCTGGCAGCTGTTTTATTAGTTCAAATTTTTTCAAGTTCACGGGACCTTCTATCAGGACCCTGCCTATATTTTACATTTTACATTTATTTATGTACATTTTTACAGTACTATCTATATATTGATTTTGTGTTTTTATTATCCTGGAATTTCATCAGGATTATTTCTAATCGAGGATTCCTTTGTTCTATTATTATCCTCAGCCTTCTAATCATCATGGCCTTCTTATGTTAGGTCTATTGTCATTTAAGGATCTGGGTATCAAAGATCTTTCTATTTTTGTAGTGCACCATCAGATGTAATTAATCAACAATTATGGTCTTAACTCAATTTTTGTTTCTTGTTGAACTTGAATTGGCAACCTTATGATTGGTAATCTAAAAACATAACTATTTATTTCATTATTAACCCACAAGTCAAATTTAATAAAGTTAATAATTGTGTTTGATAATAAGAAGTATGATATATATATATAAGATAAGGTTGTGTTTAAGTTTAAGAAACTCTGATATTTAAAGATTACAGATTGTGAGTTTGTATAAATATTTATAATATAGTTTCTAGAAGCAATAATAAGAGTTAATAAAATAACAATAAATTCTAACTTAAATAAGCAAGACTAGTATTTAATTTAGATTTAAAAGTGTAAAATATAGAATTATTTAAGATTTGAATCTATCCAATATTCATAAAGTATTGTGAAATATTCAAATTTATGACTGAATTATTTGTATAAAAATCAAGTTCTAATAAGTTATTACTAAAATTAGTAATTTGTTAAAAGGTGTTTAATAATATATTATGTTTAAAAATAATTAAAATAAAATATATTATAATAATAAAATTAGAAAATTTTCAAGTTTGAATTAGATTTTTAATTGCAATAAAGTATATAAAATCAGGATAATTAACATTAAAGTTAAAAGTTTTGTTATATATATTATTTTAATTAAAAAACTTAGTTAAGAGATTAATAAAAATAATAATTGTATATTTGTTAGTAATTAAATAAGAAAAATAAAGATAAATAAATTATGATTCAATATAATATTATTAATAAATTACAAATTTAGTTTTTGATATAAAAGATTGTTTTTTGATTTTGTTAGTAATAATTTGATTATTAAGTACTATAATAAATTATAGTTTTTGTATAAAAAAACTTTTTTTTATTATAAGCAGTCATGCTAGTACTTTATTAAGATTTTAAAATTATATTTGTAACAAAAAAAAGCTTACTTTTAAATTACATATGAAGAATAAAGATTCAGACATATAATCTGCAACCTAAACCTACAAGAGTGGCCAAGGCTCATCTAGATTTGGTTATTAGTAATAATATAT